AATATCTTAGATTCTATTAAAATTAAAAAATTAAAAATTTTAGTTTTTTCAATTTTTTTGTTTAAATTAACCTAATTTTCTTTATATATTATAAATTCTTTTTTAATATTTTTCATTATTAATTTTTTTAGGTAAATATAAAAAATAATTAATATATATATATTACCAAATTTAGAAATTTTCTTTTTTATAATGAATATATTTATATTTCTAAAAATATATATAAAGAATGAATAGTTTGAATAAAATCTCGAGATTTCGATTTAATGAGGAATTTCTGAAATATCGATAATTATATGATTAGATATCTTTGATCTAATCTAATGAAAGATTTATTATAAAATAATAGTTGAAGGGATAATAGTATTAGAAAGCAGTCAATTCATGTAGCATTTATAGATTTCGATAATATGAACCCGATTAAATCTCAAAAAATATATTCAAGCCATACCAGGATAGACTAACATTATTAGTACTAGCACCCTTGATTCAAAACACTCTAAATAGGGTTCATTCGGGTCTTGTATATATATATATATATATAATCTTTTTGCATGTCAGGTCCCATCGTTGTCGTCGCTTGCCATGATTTTCGCCAGCCTGGCCGTCAAACGAACTTACCGGGTTGTTGTGGTGGTTTCTTCGGAACCTCCGTACCGGAATCATGGCAGCTTGACCATCGAATTAGGGCTGCCTCACTGACTTTGGGCCTGAGGACTTATGCTAATGCTCGGTTTCAGAGCCCATGCGTATCTGAAGACTCCCGAGGGCTAAGCAAGTTGACGAGGATAAACTCGGATGCCTTGCAATGATGTGGATGGGTCGCTGGGTCGCTGGGGCCAACCTGGCCAAGTGAGTCCTGCAGTTCGATCGCACTCCATCGTCTCTCCGGCTTCTTGCACCTGCCGCGCTGCGTATCGGCTGGAAAAGGGTGAATCGGATTCAGAGTTGCTAGAGTAATGACAATTCACGGCGGCAACACAGTTGCACCTCGACGAATTGACAGAGCCTGGCAATATTTTGAGTTGCTGCCACCACGCAGAAGCAAAGCAGGCCATGGCCAATGGTATGAAAGGGTGGCTCTCTCGAGAAACGGCCCGCGGAGAGGCGAGGCTCGGGCCTGCGCAATGTGACTTCTCAGATGAACACCGCCAAAACAGATGTCACCAGAGGCCTGTGGCACAAGTTGTCGAAGAGAACTGGAAATGACGCAACGCTCCCATAAGGATACACACCTGCCGGGCAAAGCTGGCGTTCACGAGGATGCTGCAGCGCAGCCCAATCGCTGAGGTGGGCTCCACATGCAAGCTCGTAGACGCACAGACCCAAGCTCCAAATGTCAGCAGCGAAGCTGTAGTCCTGGGAAGCCGGATCTATCCACATTTCTGAATCGGGCCTTCAGCAAGCATTCGTGTTAGCTGTTCTCTCGGACCTTTGAGCCTTGTCTGTGAGCCGTGATGTGCTATGCAAAGCCCGCAACTAGTGTCACAAGCCAACGGCAGGACTTCGGCTTTTGTTCGTTCTTATGTGAAACCACATGGCACAATTTGAGGACATGAAGAGTTGGCTGCAACAAAGACAAACGCTCTACAAGCATGCGAGCACACTACAGAGCCTACCACTTCGCCCATCCTCCCCCAGGATGCGCTCTGGAGACATGTGGGTGGCTGTGCCCACGAAGGTGTCACAGACCTCGCTTTCTGCGACGGGTCGGGCATAGCGGCAGGATTCGACCAGCTGAGCCCCGCAAGAGGCCCCGGCTGTCAAGGAGTCTCCGAGATTTTTGGAGATTCCGAAGTCGGTGACCTTCGGTACGGCAAGACAAGCTAAAAACAAGTCAAAACTGCCGATAGTTTCGAGAACCCGCACCTTGACAGATCCACGGGAGTTGACGAGGATATTGCCAAGCTTCACATCTCTATGCACAACGTTGTTGAGGTGCAGGATTTTCAGGCCCTGCAAACAGGTGACTCAGTCCCTATGAATGAGTTGCCGAGCTGCTCAACCCCCGCATGCTCGCATGTACATACACATGCACTATATGTACATACATATATACATACATACAGACAAACAGACATAACATACATACAGTTACATGCATACATGCATGCATGCACGCATACATACATACATACCTACCTACATACATGCATACATACACGCATGCCTGTATGCTGCATACATACTTCGGCGGAGCACACCACCAACTCAACAGTACCTACTCCTAGAATTTTGTCGCCTCACGTAACGCAAGTATGTAACTTAGCAGATATGTGCACCGACGCACATGCACATTCACACATTGATATCCAGTAAATACCTGTCCATACACACGTCAAACATGTACATGAAGAGAGACACTTGCGTGTATGTACATATGTATGTACACATATCTTGCCATGCATTTCCAGACAGACACACACACACACACACGCGCGCGCGCGCGCGCTGTACATATCTGTCTGTATGTGCATATAGCTATATATTTGTTCATGTACACATGTAAACGAGGCGCGCAGAGAGTATCATGGACGATTTTCTGAAGAGCGTGAACCAGTCGTAGTCGGAAACTGACTGGATTCCTTCGTTCCTCTTCTACAGATGGTTCACATAATGTTGCAACCTGTGTACATGTCCACTATCTCCAAAGAAATCCAAATAATTTCAACCAGCACCTTAGATGATGAAACAACACAAGCTGCTATTTCCGTATATGAAACCGAAAGGGATATTTAGCTAATCAAGAAGAAAGACTGCGATCGTTTCGAAGTCGGGTTTGGATGGTACTCAGATGAACGCCAACACAAACACACACTTGAGCGATGCATGCCAACAAAACTCTCAACGTTCTGGCATACACAAAGTACAAGAATCTTTGAAAAGAGTCCGGGCTCTCCACACGGAGGGATTGACATGATTCACAAGGTCACTTTGATAGTTTGACACGAGGCATGGGACATTTGAGATCAAACACATCAAACCGACTGTCAAAACCGCATTTAGACACTTAGTCTTGGAAGTCGAAAACAAAGTTGTCGGATCGAAGTGAGAACCTGTATGCTACCCGAGCATGTCTTCAATCCTGAATCTCGGATCACAGGCAAGATTCGAACTGGAACCTGTACTGAATCAAACAAATCAGTTGTCCTGAAGTTCCAGATTTTCGGGGTCGTCTATCACTGAAGGCGGGGAGGAGGGGCCTGATTCGTTTGTTTCAGTTATCATACGCGGCTGAATCAAGCCAGCCGGATATCCGAGGTTCAAGATTCCAGCTGCCTGGAAAATCTTTCTTGGATCCCAGGCCGGTCAACTTTGAGCAGTTTAATACTGGGCTAGAGATTGATTCGAGTAACAGCGTAATTTCCCGCCCCCTCTAAGAAGAGATCACAAAACGATGAAAGGCCTGTATAACTTGGGGAAGGGGCTCCATACACATACACATGCAGGCAGGTACATACGTACTGCAGCATGTATGTATGTACATAACATAAGTGAAACTGTACCATTGTACCCTGTACATGTGCTGTGCAAGTATGTTCTACCATAATTAAGTCACAGCGCGTGAAACGGACATGCCTCCAGGATCTGCATCAGAATCAGAGCCTTGTGGGCCCAGCACTCAACAAGCTAGCTATTGAAAACGCAAGCCCCAGACGAGGAGATTTTCAGGAACTTCTTTGACACGTCGCTTCAGATCGGCCAAGCTTCCATAATCCTCGGGTGCTGCCATTACATGCATGTCTGGCATCTTGTTGTCCAGGGAAAGCTTGGCATCATGAAAGCAGGTAAGTTATGCACCATGTACTCAAGGGCCACGTGCACGCAGCCAGACTCCTCTCAACATTGCACATAAACAGTTTTGCCAGCAGCCGATCACAACAAAGGAACCGGGTCCTTGTGTACGTACCTCATGACACAAAAAACCGAAACCGAGGGGAGGTATTTCAGCAACACCATACGACAGCAGAACCGACAGGCTTTCCCTGGGCTTGGAGTGTTGGAGCGTGCATGTCCATGCTTTCAAGCATGGCTTTTTGTGTGCTTTAGTGTTGCTTGTGTTGTTTCTGTTTCAACTTTTTGCATGATAGCTGGTCGCTTGCAACAGTCACAGGCATGTGGCTCATGTGGCCGCATCGGGAGCTGCATCTGAGCTGGGGTGTTTGCTGTGTCGCTATAGAAACCGATGGCGTTTTATGGAGTGATCGAACATACAGACGAGGATGTGGCGCACCGTGCATTTGTCGCTCACGAACGAAGGAGATGTATGTGCGTATATCATTTTAGCATTAGAGAAAGAGAGACATACATACCTATATACATATATGTGTGTATATCTCTGAAGCTATAGATCTGTCTATCTATCTATGTATCGATCTATCTATCTATCTAGCTAGCAGGCATGTGCATAGGGATGACGCATTGCTTGGCCTCCAGCCGTGGTGTCCCTCGAAGTTGTTGATGCAGCATGTCACCAATAGGCCAGATATCGCAGATCAACTCGTGGGTCTTCTTGGGAGCTCGGGATAGATCAAAATCTCAACTGGACTTGATTTCGTTCTCGTCTTTGCTGCGCTATCAGCTTATGAAATTGCATGTTGATTCGTGGTGCAGAGAACTGCTTCTTCGACCATGCACGGTAAATTCGCTTTCGTATGATTAGGCCCAGAAGCACTGTGCCTGTGCCGACACTCAATTTGTCTTCCTGCCTGTGCAATTTTGAGCTGTCGTCTCTAGCAGACTCCAGCGTCGTAGACGGTGTACGGCTCTGCTCAGGCAAAGAGAACCATTATTTAAGCTATGTATGTATATATACATATATATATATATATATACACATGAAGCTTTCACCTAGAGGGAGTTCTATCCAAGACATGAATCGCGGCTCACGCATCATAGAGCTCAATCAAGAAGTGACTCTTCGTGATCCGGAAGAGGGTGTGGATCTCGTTGATGAGCTGATCACGCTTCGCCTTCTGGATCAGGCCGCTCTGCAGCGACCCGACAGAGACAGGATTTATCACGAATGCCTTGTCCTCTACTCTCACCACCTTCACTGCCAAAGGCATGCCTGAGGCTGATGCAGCACTGGTGAGCATGCCTTAAGTTCACTTTTCAGTCCTCGTGGCCTGTGGGCTTGTGTACGGCCCGGCAGACAACGCCGCCCGCTCCACGACCGAGGAGATTTGTCTGATCCACTTCAATCTCTCCGACCCCATCCTTGAATCGGCTCTGGGAACGTCTCATATGCCAGGGGTGCGAGGAAACAACTCGGAAAGGGTCCCGAAGCCCACCCTCGCCGATGACGATGTTGGTCGGGCAGTGTCTGAGCGAGCCATCCTGGACCAGGCACATCCCGGAAAGGTTTGCAAACGCAGCTCTTCACAGGCAAGCCTGCTGCACGGCCCAGGATTCCGGTTGGTTGGCATCCTGCAATCGCTTTGTGCCTCTTGCACACTCCGGGACACGCGGAACTGTCCTGACCAATACTGTCCAGTTGCAGCTGCAGGTCGCCAAAGTCCATGAAGCTCAAGCCTTGGCAGACTGCCGTGTCGGGTCGGATTGCACATGGGCCCGTTGCCCCCCGAGTCGAGGAACCCTTCTAGAGATGCTCTGGCTGAACTCGCCTGGCCGGTACAACGTTGCAGTGGCATCGGCAGACACTCTTCCGGAAATGCATGTGCTGCCATGGAAGCTCCTGTCGAACATGACACAATTCAAGTGCGGTGCGCAGGCCTGACAGCATTCTGCGTCTGTCGCAGAAGAGTGCCATCAAGGCAGGAGAACCCAGGCTGAGCTTGCTGCATCCAGGGTACATCTTAGGCTTAAGCTGTGAGGGCTTGTCCGCAAGGTCGGAGCTGCTAGCTGCTGGGGTCTATCAGTTGCCGGCTGCATGACATGTGCGTCGCTGCACCTGCTCGAGGTACTGTGAGTGTTGTGTGCCTCCAGCTCCGAGCCGATCCATTGCACCGTGTTGGCACTCACTGTGTCTGCAGCGGCAGAGTCGCTGTATCGGCGAAACCAAGTTTGCAAGGCTCAACCGAATTTCTGGGCCCTGGATTTTTGCCATCCAGCAACGCTGCATTCACACGCAGCTGGCATGGCGGAAAAAGGAGCCGACTGCTTCCATGAGGTAGCTGAAGCTGCCGCCACCACCTGTCTGGGGAAGTCCGGAAGGTAACGTTAATCAAAGCGTCGACCGAAAAAGACGCAGAGGTAGAGGGGGGCAACCCAGTAACCGCTCCTCTGAGCCTCTGTGCTCAGAGATTATCTTGGCAGCTCATCAAACGTGCAAGTGCAGCGGGGGACAAGCGAAAAAGTGCTCAAGCTTATTGAGATGGGGTGTTTTCCGTGCTTCGAATCGAAAGCCTGCTCTCATCTTGGCTGGCCTTCGTTTGCAATCGGCAGAGGGCTCGGCGGCGGGCTCGGCGGGCTCGGCACCTCCAGCGCGGAAACTACGCGCGGAAACTACGGATGCCCGTTTACTCCGACCCCTCTGAACTTCACATCAGCAATCGGCCAACGAGGGTCCACCCAGACATTCATCAGAAACATATCAGAAACCGAGCAAGCCGTTTATAATCGATGATGCACTGAAACTCGATTGCAAAAGTGAAGCTCTGTGAGCTCTCCGGAGCCGCTGGAGGTTTTGTTTTCATCATTTCACGACTGTCTCACAGGCTGCATTCTGCACTAGAGCGCGAGTCATGGCCAACGAAAGCCGGCATGCTGCGAACCAGTGGTAAGTGACAGCAAGTACCAGTAGCAGTGCCAGATCGCTGAAGCAGCGAGTGGAGACGCCTGCGGACTGAATCACAGGGGTGAGGACCGGCGGGGGTGTAGAGCAGGCGAGCGAATCGGCGCGTGACTGAGTCAGTGTATCAGTGAATCAGAGAGCGAGGCATAGCGAATAATGTAATAGTGAGCACGAGCGGGTGCGATTGCAAGCAGCACATGGAATTACTAGTTCCAGATTTGGATACATATCGTTCCGAAGCCATACAGAAGAAGGAAAACCTGTTGTATCCGCGTTTCAGGGCGCTTCTAAGGTGTCTTGGGGCACTACCGTGACGCTTTGATTTGCCCCGCTGCGCTGCAAGGCGTGTGCGATTGTCCTGCAGCCCTGCAAGGCGAATCTGCGTGCTTCGCAACAAGACCCTGTTCTCAAGCACAGCTTTTTGACTCAAGCATTGCAGTGTGTTTTCAATTGCGGCTCACTGCTGCTGACACAATCTGTGGTGTCGCTGCATGCTGCCCGGAGAAAGGTGGCTTTGCTCGCTGGTGCGTGTCCAGAGGAGGCCCTGCCGGCATCCAGGCACAACGGAACCCGGCAAATTCCAACAAAGCCGCTTCGAACGAAGAACAGCAACACACTCAAAATGCGCAGATGGTCGAAATTAGTCTAGCTGGGCAAATCCCACCCAGGCTCCCGGTACCTATTGATCTTTCCGAATTAGGTGCGTGGACGATGCCAGTCTCCGAGCGACCCCCATGTTGAATATGAGGTGAGTGAAGAAGTGCGTGACAGAGTGTGAGTGTGTGTTTGTGTGCCTCGCTTTCACAGCCTACTATAGTAACTATAGTAGGTTCATGGCAATCAGTGGCGATCGGATGTGACTCTTTCGAGATGGAAGCGATAGCTGGCAACATGGTGCAGGAATGCGACGAGAAGACCAAGGACAAGACAAATCTGGGCCGGAGGGCCTCGTCGACAAGCACATCTGTTGCCGCCTTCGCATCAGGTGCAAACGTCAGCGATGCTGCCTGCACCAATGATGTCACTTCTCTGTCGGGGCAGCAGCTGGAGACTTCACACTGTGTGCCTGTTGCGGCGGCAGCACGCCTGCGTGCTCAAGCACTTGGGGATAGAGAGATGCCTCGGTTCGGACGGTGCCCGGACAATCGCTCGCCAACATGCCAGCTAGACTCAGCTAGACGGCAAACCGCTGTGGTGGCTCGGGGCCTTTAAGAGCTCAGAGCCGGGCGCGGCATTCGCGCATCAGCCAAGAAGCCGCGTCGGGCAAGCAATCGAGGCTGCGGCGGTTTTTGAATATCGGCCGGTCTCAAACAGAAAGCCAAGAGCACGAATTCCGACTTGACTTGCCTTCTCTCGCTTCCATTGAAGCTGGGCGCGTCGTCTCCTGACTGGATGGCACGTGCACACAAGGCACGCTGAAGTAACCGCAAAGCCGTGGTGCGGGAACACCTGGATGCGGCCAGGGCACCCGCGGCCAATGCGGACGTTGCCGTGCCAGCAATGTCCATCATCTCCTGGTTTGTGCAACATCTGGCGAGGTCTCAGTCCTTTCAAGCCTGGTGGGGTCCGCGCGCACAGGCGACTTCTGAAGGGGTTTGGAGCCTCACGAAGCAAGTCGAAGCAACGAGGCACATGCCCATTTAAAACCGATGCGGTCTCCAAAGAGTTACAGCTCCTGTCAATATTAAGGACTCATCCTCAAGAGCGCGTGGTTCCTGAATCAGGACCCTGTGCTGGGCCTCCAAGGCTGTGCCTGGCAGACGCAAGCCTGTCGAGAGCCGGAGTGCCAGCCGCCAGCAATGCTGCCTGGAGAGATGCTACTGCCTCTCAGCTTTGACACAAGCCCGACAGACTTCAGCTTGGAGCTGCGAAGGGCTTAAGCAGTGGCATTGACCTACATCGACCACCCTCGTGGTGCGCCTTTCGGCGCTCGACGCCTGCAGTGCAACTTGCACAGGCTTGGAGGCAAACCCAGTGTGGCTACGCGATGGCTTCCTCTCCTGAGTCTGACAAGTTTCCGAAACGTCTTGGCCATATGTAAACTCTGGTCTTCGTATGTATGTACAAGACAACTCTTGGACTGGGCCGGTGCCTCCGAGGCTGCCAGCGCCACATCCTGCCACGAGCACAAACTTACGTGATACGAGGTCAGAGATTCGATGCGAGGAAGGGCAGAGGATGTCTTCTTTTCTGAAGAAATGTTGCAATCCAGTGGATCCACTCCAGTTCCAACGATTTCTGACCAGATGTGGCCTGAACATTTCTTTGCCCGTATCTGTCGTGTGCCTATCCATCTCCGGTCCATTTCCTTATGCGTAGGTCCCACAGTGTGGGCGAGGCTCTTTGTGCTTCACGTAGCGAAAGCATTCTCTTTTGCTTTGCATGTCCAAGAGCTCCGAGATCATTAGGGTACTTGCGGATTTTCGGTGTAAGGAGGCTACTCTGCTGCCTCATCTGTCTGGCTTCTAGGCTGTGGCCTAGCCTCGGCCATCCTTGCTTTCGGTCTGCATGACAGTTGACAGGGACAGGCTTTGCTACTCGCTAGTTTCCGGACGCTGCCCTACCTTTAAGTTGTAAGGGGCATGCCAGCCCTGTGACATGAAATCAAAGGCGAACGCTTCTGACCCGAATTCCAGTTCCGGGATTTCCGGGCCATCTTCACTTCAGTCTTATCTGGTTTCCAGCAGGGCACTCCCGTTTGCAGACGCACGAATGCGATAGAAATCGGCATAACACAACAAAGTGCAGGCAGCCACACATGCACTCGCGCTATACTGCAATTAGCGTCTTCGTGGGGTGGATCAGGGCACGACAGAAGAACGTCAAGCGACGAAACATCGGATGACACTGACAGACAGTGTGACAGCACTGTTGTCCTCTAGGCCATGGCCAGCGCTAAAGGCTACGAAGCCCTGCCGCACCTGCGGATCGAGCTACAATGCAATCCGCAAAAAGAGCACAGAACTTTCCTTGCCACGGGTTCCTTGCCCGACCAAGCGTCTCTCTATACACCTAACGGCTTAGACCGCCTGATCTGTAGTATAGTCAAGCCTCGTTCCAGCCGACAGTCTTCATCGCCTGATGCTAGATGCTTGCCAGGTCCACAGGTGAAAACAGTACTCCACTGGGCCGGAAACCTTTGTCTCTGCGAAGTGCGCAGGAACGACCTCGACTGTGGGGATGGATGTAGCATTTGGCCCCATCCGCTTCGGTCTGTGCAGCAGCACCCCAGGCACACGTGGACGCTCAGCTTGGATGCGGGCTGGCCACAGCAGCAGCTGGATCATCGGCACCATAATACCTGCCAGTGTCCCAGTCTCGTGCATGTACTGCCCCTCGGAGTTCGGGTCTTTTCCCAGCACGGCGCCTGTCATCTGCTCCCTGCGCATCTGCTGCAGGAAGGCAGCGATCGAGCCTCGAGGCTGCAGCTTTGCCATGGTTGGCCAAGTTCTGCGACAAGCGCCTATCACCGTCCGTCAGCAAGGCTAGGATCCTTGCGGACGGC